ACCATGGCTGAAAGCATAAAAACAGAGGGAGGAGGGAAAGATTTATTGCTTAGGATTAGGACAAAAGAAAATTTGGGGCAGCACCAAGCGTCAAAATTTTGGCCACCTCTGGACATTCATGATTAAATGCATCAAAACAATAGTAGAAGCAGGTGTACATGGGAGGTTGAGGGTTTATGAGGCCATTTTTGTTTCCTTGGTGGTGCATACAAACTTCTGCTATATGTAATACCCATTTATTATTGCAAGCATTTTGTCACAAACAAAAGGCTTAAGCTGCCCATACCTGAATCGGTTCAGCAGGGACTGGCCAAATTTTGATCCATGTATAGGCAATGTAGTTGCACAGAAGTCGATCTACCCATAGACTTCAGTACAACCGCCTTGTCGTCAGATTTTTCCCGCTCGATCAGAGCCGCCAGCTATAGTCTGCAACACTGGTCTGTGTATTCAGACAGCGGGGAGACCTCCTTGCCCTCAGAATACAATGCCAGAGCTGGGAGAATTCCCATATCCACATTGAGTGTGTGGATGGGGGACAAAAAGTCAGGTTTAAATTAGCAGCCCCTTGAGAAGTCTTACTTCATTATAAAACGGTTATCCTGCAGTGGCCTTGATGCTGGTGACCGATTTCAAAACACCCTATGGCTGGCCATACATGTAGAGAATACCCAGCGGGTTGATTGGCCTGGGAAGGACAGCTTGGATGGAGGAACCTCGCCTTCCAGCCTATATATTCTGCAACCCACATCTGCCAGAACAGTGACCACATCTAACTGGATGCAGTTACTGTTTGGCGACAATTTTACACCAGCTTCTTCATCAAAAGTTGATTAAAGAATTGACTCTTGTTGACTGGAGTGATGCTCATTGAAATTCAAGCTTTAATGGCTGCTGCTGAACAGTCCGAATTTCAATCGATGTATCCCTCTGTTCAACAGAAACTTCTGTCAAACAGTCCTGCTGGAACACCAGCATTCCATGAGCTTTTGCAGCACTGACCGGTGTAGACTGACATTCCCGCTGTCAGAATACAATAGCGCAGCGGGGGAGATCCCTGCATCCATATTGCTTGTGTAGATACAGGAATCAGTTTTTTGTTCAACCCGCTGGTTAAAATGAAAAGAAAAACCCTCAAAACTGTGTATGGGGCAGCACAGTGGCTAAATGGTTAGCACTTCTGCCTGGCAGTACTAGGGTCGCTTGTTCAAATCCCAACCCTGGCACCACCTGCCTGGAGTTTGCATGTTCTCCCTGTGACTGCGTGGGTTTCCTCCGAGTACTCCGGTTTCCTCCCACACTCCAAAGACATGCTGGTAGGTTAATTGGCTCGTGTCTAAATTGTCCCTAGTATGTGTATGTATGAATGTGAGTTAGATTGTACACTCCTTGAGGGTTAGGGACTGATGTGAATGTACAATATGTATATCTAAACTGCTGTGTAATTTGATGGCGCTATATTATTATTATTACACAGTATTTATATAGCGCCAACAGTTTGCTCAGCGCTGTACATTACAATGGGAGACAACACATGAGACAGTACAGTAACAATACAATAAAATACATGAGGGGTTCGAGGGCCCTGCTCCTTGGAGCTTACAATCTAGGAGGGAGGGGAGAGTGGTACAGGAGGAAATAGCATGGAGTGGTAGGAAGAGTGGAGGCAATTAGGTGAGGGCGGGGTAGGCTTCTCTGAAGAGATGGGTTTTCAGGGTGCGCCTAAAGGTGAGGAGGGTAGGTGACAGTCTGATGGATTGGGGGAGTGAGTTCCAGAGGATGGGGGAAGCCCTGGAGAAGTCCTGGAGACGGGCATGGGAGGAGGAGACCAGGGAACTGGAGAGTAGGAGGTCTTGTGAGGAGCGTTTTGGGTGGTAGATGGATATCAGATCGGTGATGTAGTTTGGGGCAGTATTATGAACAGCTTTGTACGTTAGTGTTAGTAGTTTGAATTTATAATATAGAAGTACCTGAAATAAATAAATATACCCCTATTAAGGGAGCTGCCACTGGGACGGCCGATCTCTCTATGCCCTGGTTCACTAATGCACCGCCTGTCCGCTCTACACCGAGTTAATGATTCATTAACCCCCTTCCCTGCCATTTCAATCCTCAGCTTGTTTCCTTCTTGGAGACACATGGCAAAGGAATGTCAACAGTTGCGTAAAGCACAAAATATAAATAAGACTCTCTTGGTTCTGAGCCCTTATTGTTTCACTACCTTGGGCTCTGGCTGACCAATTTGTAACACATTCCTGGCTTGCAGACTGCCGGCCCAGGCTGGGACTAACACAGCCTTGATTTATTAAAGGACAAATAAAACATTGCCTGTCTTATGATGGATGTGAGCAGGCCAGAAGAAGAGGAATGCCTGGAATGTAGCGCACTGCTTGGAACTCAGACAGCCAAGCACAGTTCTCAGTTATCAAATGACCTCTGATTGCTTCCTTCGCAAAGGAATGAGAGGCATCCTGACATCCAACTCCGTGCCAGCAAGACAAAGAAACAAACATTCACAGGCCACATGCAATCCTCTTGGCCTGGCCTGGCCATTTGTTGGTGGTTTTTATTCATCCACATGAAGGCTCTGTCAAAGAACACACACTGCAAATAAACCCGGCGACAACTGCAAGGTCTCCTTGTGTCAGAGGAGCAGCTGTGCTCCCACCCAGGAGTGGGAGGGTTGGCTCCTCTGATCAGACCCAGCAGACATTTGGTGTAGGATACATTTACCGCCTATCTGATTCCAGACGCAGCACTAAGCCATGGAACAGAATGGAGCCTGCATATACCCGTCTGTTCAATCCAATTTACATCCTTCAAGTTTTCTGCTGTTTGAAGGTTTTTCAGAGTGTTTACCAGGGGTGGACTGACAACTCATGGGGCCCCCGGGCAATAGGGGATCATGGGGCCCCTGTGTCCTTGCCTACACTCAAAAAAGCCTATGAAAAAGGTACCAGGGGCATCTCATGGGGCCCCCTACTGACCCCGGGCCCTCCGGCAGTGCCCGAATTTCCAAATGGTCAGTCCGCCCCTGGTGTTTACCGTGTCAGATACAAATTACACTTTCACTAAGATGTTACATCCGTATTCCCCCCCTCCACCAGGGATCTTCTCCCCATGTCTGCTGCCACCATTCAAAAAAAAAAAAAGATGGCCGGGTGGACAGCGTATTCTATGAATGGGAAACTACAATTACAGACATACTTTGCGGCTGTTGGGTTGTAATTGTCCATGAAAAGCACTGTTGAGCACTATGGTAGTTCATTGAGGATTCCTGTCAGTTTGTGTAAGTTCTCTGCTTGTACCTCATAGGATCAGTCAGCTACACAGTCTGCAAGAGCCGTGCATGGCATGGGTGCAATCCTATGCAGGCTCCCAATACTAAGCAGTCTCTGAATGGCACGGGTGCCACCCTGGTGAATACTTTCTAAATGTGCACTGTGTAGAAGATATTCACATTTGTAGCAGCAAGTGACATCACTGGCGCATGTGCACTGCGCTCTGAATGGATGGCACCCTCGAATGTGCCATCCATTCAGAGCACTGTACCACAATCGTGACTCTCATACGTATGCGCAGGAGTGACATCATTGCGCCCCTGACCATTCAAACGGTCAGAGCATACAAACTCAGAAAAAAAACAAAACCGGGTGCACTCTCCTCGTGCATTAACGCAATAACCAAAAATGTATTAAAAAGATGCAAAAACATACTCACAAGCCATAAAAGGTCATAACAACAGAGACAAGAAATCAAAAGGTGCCAATCGTGGACAGCATGCATCCCCGGGTAAAGTGCTAACACGTTTCGGGAGTCGAACTCCCTTCCTATTACTCTGAGGGAGTTCGACTCCTGAAACGTGTTAGCACTTTACCCGAGGGCCGTCTTGCTGAGCAGGCTCGGAGCTCAGGCCGGATCTGTCATTGGCACTGGGAGCTGTCAGGCTGCTCAATAGCTGAGCGCAGTGAAAGTAAAGTAAGGAGTGTGTGCTGTGCTCTCTGCCTCCCCCTAGAGTGCAGTACCCGGATCTGTGAGTGAACAACGAAGTACTGCAACTTTTTATGGGGGGGGGGGGGGTGTACGTGTACATGTGAGTGTGTTTGTGTGTGTCTGTGTATGCATGTGCAATTGTACATGCGTCTGTGTGTATGTACATGTATGTGTGTGTACATGTGTATGTGGGTGTGCGCATGTACGTGGGTGTGTGTGTGTGTGTGGGTGTGTGTACGTGTCACATGTGTCTGTATGTATGTACGTACATGTGTGTGTATTTCTGTGTATGTACATGTATCTGTGTGTATGTGTCTGTGTGCCTGTGTGTGTACACATGTGTCTGTATGTGTGTGTGTGTACATGTATCTGTGTGTGTGTACATGTATCTGTGTGTATGTGTCTGTACATGCCTGTGTGTGTATACACGTGTCTGTATGTGTGTGTGTACATGTGTCTGTATGTATGTACGTACATGTGTCTGTGCGTATTTCTGTGTATGTACATGTATCTGTGTGTATGCGTGTCTGTACGTGCCTGTGTGTGTATACATGTGTCTGTATGTGTGTGTGTGTACATGTATCTGTGTGTGTATGTACATGTATCTGTGTGTATGCGTGTCTGTACATGCCTGTGTGTGTATACACGTGTCTGTATGTGTGTGTGTACATGTGTCTCCGTGCGTGTGTGTACATGTTTCTTTGTGTGTGTGTGTGTACAGGTGTCTCTGTTTGTGTGTGTTTTTTTCGGTGGCGAGTAACTCTAAGGCCTGGCTAGTAGCTCAGGACTTGAATTTTAAGCCCTGATAAAGGGGGTTGCAAAATCATTGCACAACAACCCCATTCACCATCATGTCAGAGTGCACCAGAACTTCAGTATGAGTGAGGTCAGATTAGAAGTTTACAGCCCACAAACCTCTGCCTATACTTTACTATACAGTAGAAACATACAGCCAGAACAAAAAAGTAGTAATAACAGATCATCTTTTTTTTACAATGGGCACTTACAAGTGAGAGGGGAACATTCGGCTCATTTTGGAGACATGGTCATTTTCACAGTCTAGTTCGTCATCTCCTTGGTCCGTGTACCTCCGTTTACTGGGGCTGATTGGCGGAGGGCCCGTTCGGTGATTGGTGAGAGTAGCAGGCATCTGAAGAGGCTGCATTCTGGGATCACTCCGTAATGCTGCTTCACCTGTTGATAGATTGATGAAGAATTTGTGAAAATGCTGCACAATGACCATTAGAATCTACAGAGTTGTGTTTTATAGGAATCAGTCAATATACTAAGGAGAAAGGAAAGGTATGTATGCTATGGTGGGACTGCCATTAAAATGAACCAGTTTTGCATGGGTTCAGTATATGTACCATCCCATTCATTTGTATATCCAAGTGCGGTCAGCGGATGGTAGGTTGTTAGAGTGCATCTAAACTCAAACAAAAATGTAATATAGTGCAGCGTTCGATGTGGTGGCTGCATTCGTTTCTTGTTGCCAGGCTAAGTACACCAACAGATCTATTAATAAAAGCAACACGCATTAGACATGGTTAAGCACACATTTAACCCCTTGATCACCCTAGATGTTAACCCCTTAGTGTCAATAGTACAGTGAATAGTATCACGGACCACTATATTAGTGTCTCAGGTGATGTCTGTGGCAGTCTTCGCCCCCCCCCTCTCCTCGGCATCATAATGGTACAGCGATAGCTTGCCCACTGCACAAAGTCACCGCCATTAGAAGAATCACACACACGTGCCAAAAGTGTGGGGACACCCCCTCCAAACCATTGGATTCAGGTGCTCCAATCACCACTATGGCCACAGGTGTATAAAATCAAACACCTAGGCATGCAGACTGCTTCTACAATCACGTGCGAAAGAATGGGCCGCTCTCAGGAGCTCAGTGAATTCAAGGTTGGTACCGTGATAGGTTGCCACCTGTGCAATAAGCCCATCCGTGAAATTTCCTTGCTACTAAATATTCCACAGTCAACTGTTAGTGGTATTATAACAAAATGGAAGCAACTGAGAACAACAGAAACTCAGCCATGAAGTGGTAGGCCACATAAAATGACAGAGCGGGGTCAGCGCATGCTGAAGCGTACAGTGCGCAGAAGTTGCCAATTGCCTGCAGAGTCAATAGCTAAAGACCTCCAAACTTTGTGTGGCCTTCAGATTAGCACAACAACAGTGCATAGAGAGTTTCATGGAATGGGTTTCCATGGCTGTGCAGCTCCATCCAGGTTTTTTTTTTTTTTTTTTTTAGGATAGCTTTTATAGCAGAAAGTAAAATATCTCATCTTTCAAAATTGTGGGACTTTTGAAGTTTCTCATAAAATAAGAAACCCAGTGGTGATCAACCAACTACCACCAAAAGAAAGCTTCATTTGTGTAAAAAATTATACAAAATGTCATTTGGATACATCATTACATCATGACCACGCAATTGCCATCAAAGTAGCAAAGTGCCAAATAGCACAAAATTGCCTGGTCATGAAGGGGAAAAAAATCTTCTGGAGCTCCAGTGGATACTTTACAACAAAATGGGTTATATTTATAAAGTGAAGATAGAAAAGAAATATGGAGATGCAGCTCACAGAAACATGTCATTTTTTTTCTGGTTCACTGCCAGCTTCTGATAGGCTGCCTCCATTTGACAGGACAGCACCCTGCAGATCCAGAGGAATGAACTCTGCATTAAAAAGTATGAGGCTTATTATGAAAAAGCCTTCCCTCTCCAGTTTCTTTTTTTTCAGTTTTTTTTTTCAAAAAAGCAGAAACCCTTTGGAGTCTCAGATCATAAAAATTTCACTGAGGCAGCTGACCGATTCCCATGGCACGTATCCCTTTCCCTTTCACTTTCATGGATCCGAAGGTCGCTCTGCTACTTTTGCTGATAGAAGAGAATTCCGGCAGTACAGTGAGACGCTGCAGGACGGCAGCTGAAACAAGAGGATTATTTTACCCAGAGAGTGAAGTGACCCACAAAGCACCACAGGGCTGGGGTTTAAGATCTGGCACCGAGAGCAGACTGGAACTTTCCATCGCACAAAGGCTGCTACAGCCAATAACCAAACCTTGTACAGTGCCACGCTCGATACAGCTTTCCTCATTTAACAAGTCTCACCATGAAGAAGATTCGATTTCTTGCTTTAAACAGAAGAAGAAAAAAAAAAAAACCTCAAATACTGTGTTAACCTCTTAACAAGCAGAAATAAATGGATTTTCTTGGATCTTGTTCTGCATTGATTATTTACCACGGATAAGAGGCAGGAGAAGAAGGATTTTAGAGGAAAACACATTATGACAGAAATGTGGAAGCCGCAGATACTGAGATTTCTCTTAAAATGCTAGGTAGCTGGTTGTCTACAACTTAAATACTCTCATACACGCACCTGGAACCGCCATGTGCCAAGAACTCTGAATCCACAGGTTTGAGGTTGCAAAGGTGTGGAATTTTTTAAAAAAACTACTTGTTCAGGGATTAAATTGGAGTCCCAATCTACTTGTCTCATGACAAATATACATAATCTACAATCTAAATGATGTACAAATCTACAATCTAAATGATGTATCCAGATATAAAAAAAACAAAAACAAACACAAAAACAAACACAAAACAATTTTAACCAAAACCGTATTTAAATCTGAGGTACTTTTAGGAATGTGTAAGTCTTTTAAAATCAAAAGGGGCTTTATGGCGACTTAATTAATATTTTTACTGTGCGCTGTTTATCTCCTCCTCCCCTCCCTCCCGGTCTCCAGCACCGCACCCGGGGACTAGCAGGGAGGAGAGAGACCTTGCAGTGTAATGAGCACTGATTGGGTGCTTGTCAGGAAAGGGGAGTGTCAGGCTTCTCCTTTATCCCTTTCGCTGCCAGAGCAGTTTTTTGCACAAGTTTAAAAAATAATTTTGAAGATTACACAAAACCCCCAAACATGATATTTTATGAAAGAAGCGAGCACATACACAAGTGCCCCCCCCAGCGACTCGCTCTGCGACTCGCTCTGGGGGCACTCAGCAGGAGCCCTGGCAGGGACCCAAGAAGAGCAGGATTGGGGCTGCTCTATGCAATGCAATTGCACAGAGCTAGTAAGTATAACATGTTTTTAAAAAAAATTACCTTTAGAGCCCCAGCTCCTGTCTGCGCAAAGATACTAAAAGGGCCTGCAAGACAGGTCAGTAGGAGGGGCTCTAACAGCACTGTGCTGATGTCATAAGGAGCTTGTCCCAACAGTTCCCAATTGTTGGCAATTGACAGAAGAAAAAAAGAAAAAAAAATGAAAAAAAAAAATGCTGTTTTGCTACATTTTCCAGCTTTCGAGTGTTCTTACAGCTAAAAAAACTCCTCTAGAAACTCACTAGTTCTGGGGGGTTTTTTCCCAGCCAAAAAATTCTGATTAAAGCCTATGTGCATGGACACCAAGGATAACATTCTGGGGAGTTTACTGGCTGTAGGGAAAAAAAAAAAAAAAAAAAAACGCCGCCAAACAGCCGCTGTAAAAACATCCAGTGTGCATGATGCAATGGTAGCCCCTGCCTGCAATGAAGCAATACTGGTCTACTATATTTGTCCAGGACTACAAGAAGAACCATGTTTAAGTCCAAGATGGTAGAAAACAAACAAAACACAAAACCACAATAGTACAAAAAGAAGGATTTAAGGCAACGATGCTTTACCTCCAAAAATATTCATATGCATTGTGTAAAAGAGCGACTAATACTAAAACCGTTCTATTTATCCATAAATACTAGTAAACCCTCCTGTGCTGTACATAAATCAGCTTTTAAAAAAATGATGTAATTGGCGCACAGTGGTTCCTTGACAATGTATTACGATTAAAAAAGAAGCCATAAAAGAAGTTTTATGCCACAGCGGCATGTGTTTTAATCACACATACAAAGGCTAAATCTCATAAAAAATGGACAAGAGAGAATAAAAATAGACCACATCAAAGGTCATGCCAGTGATTCAATCTCTCCCAAGTATATTCTAGCAGGCAGCTGGCTTTGGAATCCAATTGATTTACATCTACTGGAAAAAGCATAAAACACCTTGCTGAGCCATGCAGAAGAGTCACGAGTTGAAGGCCTCTGTTACATTGAGATACATGTGCAAGGGAAAGACACTATACCCAGAGTTCATATAAAATTATGAGATGTACTGCAACTATTCTACAACAGAACCAGGGAAGTGAAATCTACAGGACAGCATGGCAACACTTCCCTGTCAATAATGACCAGAAGGGCCCATTCACATAGGCGCAGAGGTCTATACACCACAACCAATGGCCGCATTTCTGTGCCCGGGAGTCTTACAGCCTTCAGCACAATCAATGACAGGCTGTAGCTTTAGGTTGTTACATATGAGAATATATTGTACATGTGTTCAAGGAAGGATGAACGGAACTGGGGGCCATTCTTCTAGGGGGCCAGCATCCATCTGCAGCCTGTCATTGATTTGTACCAGTGTCCATACACAACACCTGAAACTCCCAGGCTCAGATATGCGGACAGTTTCTATGGTGTACGGACCTCTGCGCCCGCTCTACGACTGAGCTCACTGAGTGAAACATGTTAGAGCAGTGGTTCTCAACCTTCCTAATGCCGTGACCCTTTAATACAGTTCCTCATGTTGTGGTGACCCCCAACCATAAAATTATTTACCCAGTAATTATAATTCATGAGTGTCGTTTTACCTCCAATACTGCTGCTTTCAACACAGTAGCTGCTTTTAACAGAGTAGCTGCTTTCAACACAGCAGCTGCTTTCTACACACTAGCTGCTCTTTACACATCGGAAATATGTGTTTTCTGATGGTCTTAGGGGACCCCTGTGAAAGGGTCGTTTGACCCCCAAAGGGGTCGCGACCCACAGGTTGAGAACCACTGTGTTAAAGGCTGGAGGTTCAGGTGGACCTGCCGGTGCACTGCATGGATCAATAAAACCTTTATTACAGATTCTGGAATGGAGAGCGGCTTGCTCTCTTCATCTGATGTTGTGGGCTTTTTAAAAAAGATTTCAGATTGCTGGTGTGCCTACACCTGTTATCGGAAGTACTGAGGTACAACATTAAGGGTCCCTTCACATGGGCGGTCTCCTTTTTAATCCGTTCAATGCACTGGTGCAAATTGTTGCCCTGATCTGTATTTTAGTGCAGGTGTAAAATGCAGAATGGAAGGAAATGTGAAAAACTATTTCCAATGTGTGCTATTCACATCATAACATGGGCATGTATGTCAACAGACATCAAAA